GTCACCATTGGATATTGTTCTGATGGGGATAGATTTTCTTTAGTTTAAATTTCTTAAGGCAGGGACAACCAGGATGGCTGTGGATAGAGCTCAGGTGTCCATTATGAAAGCAAAATCCTAGCCAGTAGCTGGCACTCCTCCTTCCATGACAGAGTCCTTCCTCATGACCAGTTGTGTCTCCCGAGTGTCCCAGAGAGGTAGCCAGGCCTGACTTCTATGCTATCTTATGTTTGTTTCCTAGGATGCCAGGGCAGATAGATTCAATATGACACAGGCAGAAACCAATTTTGTTCTTTCTGAACAACAGTTCCATGTCTAGAAGAAAAAATATTTATATACAGATATAAGAAGTTACTTTCAATCAGTTTTATATGCCAAGGTTCTCATGACATCAGACTATCAACATAGGCCTATAAAATCTTCATTCAAAAATGAGACAGAAAAGGCAAGTACCTCAGAAAAAGACTATATCATAGCCTAAACTTTTGGTCATAGAGGAAGAAAGAGACCCCAAAATAAGTACTGTTCACATGACCAAGTGCTTGCAAAAAAATGCTGATATTTCACTGGAAACTTTGGTGAATTAAACCAAAACACAATTTTAAAAATTATGTATCCAGACAAATTGGGTATATTTGTCTGTGACAATATTAGCAGTGGAGGATTGAATTTTGCCCTTCCCCATCTGCACTCACCCAGGTTTGCATAGTCAGGTTGGCAGGCTCAGGACTCATTGGGGTCAACTCTACCATCTGCTCAGCTGTGTTTCTTTGTGATGGAATGTGTTAGGGTTAGAGGATGGGCACTTTAATGACACGTGTGCAAGTAGGTTGACTTGAAGGCAGAAAGTAGGAATACAGGAATGAGCAGTCTCTGATCCAAGAAAAATATTTGGTTCCTTCCTAGAAAAAAAAAAAAAAACTTTCTGTGAAATTCCTCCTCATCATTCTAGAAACAGGAGACAATGCTTTTATCTTGGTCAAGTTGTGTGAAGATTCCATTTCCCTGGTTCTCATGGGAGTCTCAAGTGTGAATTGAAATGTAGAACCATCAAGGACTTCGGACAACATTATCCCCTTTCTTTAGTGTGGACTTCTCTGCACAGGCCTGGGTATCCTTGACCTGAATGTCAAATGTTTGGGGGCTTTGAAGTATGAGACAAGAACTATTAGAAAGCAGAAGCTGTTACAGGAAAGACTTGTAAAAGTATATACATACATTTCATTCATTCTGAATTCAAAGACATAGGAGCTCAGGTGCTATGGTCAATAAAATGCATGCCCAGGATGAATAAAGTCTTGTGTCAGAATCTGAATATTGGCTTCAATGTTCTCAGGGTCATTTGACCAAACCACCTCCTTCCAAAAACTGGAAATACAGAAATGGTCCTATATAGAGGGGTTATCCAGACTACATCCCTATTGATAGTTCACTTCTGCTGGATCATAAAAACAGATTTCTGTGGAGGTTTGTATAATCCATTGAGTTGTTTTGACAGGAGTGAGTCTTAGATAGAGCATTTGAGGGCCTGGAGGCAGCAAGACAAGAGAAGAACTGTCTCTCATCTTGTCTTTTTTCTGGCAAAGTAAACTGAATTGTGTTAGAAATGAGCATGTGGAGAAGGGACTTGGAATCTCATGGGATCAACTGGAAGTTGAATCAGCCTAGGTGCTACTGAGGATTTCCTTTTACTTTTAGCAAATGTATATAGATATCACGGCTAGAAAAATGTCAGAGTCACCTTAAACTGCTGAGCAAAAATTTGTTCTAACAGCTTAATGGCACCGAGTAATGTGCATGAGACCTGCTACCTAATCCTTCCACTCCTGTGTGCTTCAACTTGTTTTGTCTTTTGTTTGTTTTTTATGAGCTAGTGTTTTATTACAAAGCTGTGTACAAAATACATGTTTTATGTTTATATTCAGAGAAGAGAAGCAGGGACTCTTAAGCACGGTTGATTGGTATTAATGGTGATATCTTAAAAACATTTTTTTAGCCAGGCTCAGTGGCTCAGCCTGTAATCCCACGCCTTAGAAGGCTGAGGTGAGTGAATTGCCTGAGCCCGCGGGTTCGAGACCTACCCGGGCAACTTGGCAAGACCTCATCTCGTCAATAAATCAAAAAATTAACCAGGCGTGGTAGCGCGTGCCTGTAGTTACAGCTACTTGGAAGGCTGAGGCGGAAGGATCACCGGAGCCCAGCGGGTCGACGCTGCAGTGACCGGAAGCGGCCACTGCATTCCAGTCTGGGTGACCAAGTGAGATTGCAACTCAAAAAAAAAACAAAAACATTTTTTTTTTTTACAGGTAAAGTTTGGGCCTCCCCTGGTTCCCACTTCTCCTGGTTTGAGATTTGGTACCCTTATTGATGTTATGCACCTCCCGCTCTCTTGGCAGTGTCCCACTACTGCCAATCCCTTTCTTATAGAAATGTTCAGGGTCTGCTTATCAGTGAATACATGTAGTGCAATGTCCACTTATGTACCTAACCCTGAATTGTACATCACATCTTTAAAAGAAAATTTGAAAACATTTTCTTTAAATTTGTAATTCCATACACTTCTCAGTTCTAGAACTTGTCCTATGGGGAAGCTCGTGAGATTTGCTTCAAGTTTCATTTTCAAAGCTATTACATATACTAGAAATGTTTTGTTCATATGAGCTCTGGTTTTGTTGCCAGATTGAATAAATGGTTTGTTCTAACCTAGGATCTGCTTAGTCACAAGTAAAGGTGATGAGAAGAAAGGACAGGATTCAAGGCAGGTCTAACAATATTTTTTTTATCCAATTGAAGCATTGGTTTGTTTTCACTTAAGTTCTATTGAGCCAAATAATAAAAGTGATAGGATAGGATGACAAGAATCAAAGAGGAAACAATTATTTCCCTAAGTGGAAAGAATTGAGTGAGTCACCCATTGACTGCTATTCTCATGGTGATGAATTCTTTAGTTCAAAATACTTTTGGGGGGTGGGGGGAGTGGTAGGATCTTTCTCTGTCACTCAGGATGGAGTGCAGTGGTATAATCATAGCTCAATGCAGCCTTGATCTCCTGGGCTCAAGTAATCCTCCTACCTCAGCCTCCCAGACATGCACCACCAACCCCAGCTAATTTTTTATATCTTTTGTAGAGACAGGAGCTCACTATGTTGCCTGTCTGGTCTCAGAGTCTTGGCCTCAAGTGATTCTCTCATCTCGGCCTCTCAAAGTTCTGAGATTACAGGTGTGAGCCACTGTACCCAGCCTATTTCAAAATTCTTAAGTCAGGGAAAATTCAAGATGGCTCTGGATGGAGCTCAGGTATCCATTACGGGTATGAAATTCATGACCAGTAACAGGCACTCTCCCTTCCGTGATACTAATCAAGGACAACTTTAGTTCCATAAGTGGCCCGGAGATGACACCTAGGCCTATCTTCAATGTTGTTTCTTTTTTCTTTCCTGGGATCTCAGTGCTGAGCTGACAGATCAAGGATTACACAGGCTGAATCCATCCTCCTTTTGTACCACAGCTTTGTGTCCAGGAAGAAAATGCTTTTTATATAGACATGAGATGGGATGGTGCTTTCCATCACTTTTATATGTTAAGGTGCTCATAAGTACAGACCACCAGCACAGGTTGCTAAAACCTGATTTCTTTCCAAAACTGAGACAGTCAAGAGGTAAGAGCAAATACCCCTAAAAAGAGACAGTTGCAGACAAATTATGATTGCAGAGGAAGAATAATTTCCACAGTTGTTATTTCCTAATGTTATTTATACAACAAAGTACTTGCAAAAATGCCAACATTTCTCTTTTTTTTTTTTTTTTTTTGAGTTGGAGTCTCACTCTGTCACCCAGACTGGAGTGCAGTGGCCGCTTCCAGCTGCTGCAGCCTCGACCTGCTGGGCTCCAGCGATCCTTCTGTCTCAGTCTTCCAAGTAGCTGGAACTACAGGCGTGCACTACCACGCCTGGCTGATTTTTTGATTTATTGTAGAGATGAAGTCTCACCAAGTTGCCAAGGCGGGTCTCAAACCCGTGGGCTCAGGCAATCCACTCACCTCAGCCTCCCAAGGCGCAGGATTACAGGCTGAGCCACTGAGCCCGGCTATTGCCAACATTTCAGTAGACACTTTTTAAAATATTGTTTTGACGTAAATGTTCCAAAGTGTCCTTTATCCAGACAAATTGGATATGTTTGCCTACTGTGGCAACATCAGCAGGGTTGCGTCTTACACTTCCCTTTCTGGACACACCCAGGTGAGTATGGTCAGGTCTGTTGGCTCAGGACTTTTCAGGACCAGCTCAATCCACAGATCAGATGTGCTTCCATGTGACAGAAGAATGAGGTCAGAGGGCAGAGGCTCTGTCATGGCTTCATAGGAACCAGGATGAGGAAGCTGCAGACAACTTTGGGAAGAAGCAATGTTTAGGAAGGGGTGTGGAATAAGTGGGGTCATGTTTGCCTAAGGCAAAATGTGCAGCATCTGCTCTTCCATTGGCCATGGGTTGAGAGGGGCAATATTTAGCATGTGCTTTGCTGAAATGACATACGCTAGGTCAATAAGACTTGATATGAGAGAGAAGATACGAGAAAAATGTGACATTCCACTGTCAAAAAGCCTTTATCCTTGGAGTTTCCTCCACCTAAGAAAGACAAAATTCTCATTTTCAAGTCTAAGGTGACCTAGGCCTACCTAGGAACATAATTTGGACCCTCGTTCACAGTTTCTATAGTTTTCTTTGCTAAGCTACAGAATTAAGATGAACGTGAAATAATGGTGTCAACTTCTTTATAGAGCAGTCCCTTATTGCTATTTTGATAGTGATTTCATCCAACTTGTAGATTGCTTTCGTAGTACAGATATGTTAACAATATTCTAAAATGCCCAGCAGGGATATTCATGTTTGGGCAAGGTTGTTTCTGAAATCATGATCTAAGCCAAGTGTTTCGTATTTAGATAATGCACTTGCAACCAAACACGGAGGGGTTTTTCAAAGCTCTTGTGACCCATGGGCTTACCTGCTCTGAATTGATGCAGAGGTAAAGTGTTGTATAAAGAGCGCAGTTCAGCATCAGATTCACCTGTCATGTACTGGCTGTATTGCTTGGAGCAAAAATCTTAATCCTTCTGAATCTGACATGTCAGCTGTAAAATGGGCTAGTAATTGTTTAATGATACTGTGAAAACTTAAAAATGATCCATGTTACATATTTAGTTTAATTCCAATATAAGATAAGCATTTAACAAATAGAAACATTTTGCTATCCAATACAGTTCTTTGCAGTACTGTACATCATCATGCCATCAAATTTTTTTGCCAAAGAGGTGCATATATGATCATGGGAATTCGTTATCTTCACAAGGTGCTAAAAACACACCCTAATGTCTTTTTTTAAAAGCTCCCCTTTTTACTAATCTTATTAATTAAGCCCTACCGTGCCTTTGAACATGGATTTGTGGGAGCTAATAGTATTTATGGAATGTCTTCCATGTCATAGACTGTGTGCCAGTTACCCTAGACACTCAACTTTAAATATTTAACTGTAACACTCAAATTAGTTTATCAGGCATTAGGATCATGTTTTCAGATGAGGATCATGAAATTCAGAGGAACGATATAAACATGCCTGTTAGTAGCCAGTAGGTGAGTCATAATCTGAACCAAAGTCTTCTGACACCTTGCAGACATTTTCTCCACTCTCCCATAGGAGATATAAAGATGATGCTGATCCATAGGTTTGCATTACTTACAGTGCAAGCCATTAAGGAGAAGTAGGTTGGGTTAAGTTGGTGACTCTAGATCAGAGCATTTCAAACCAGTCTCTCAGGGTCATTCATTTCATTAAGCAGTGTCTGAGCCCCTACTGTGAGCAAAGACTGAAGACACACACATGGTCTTTCAAACAAGTGACTGAGCAATCACAGTACAGTCTGACAAATCCTTCATTGAAAACACCTGCAAGGTGTACCAGACCTTAGGGAAGACTTCTTAGGAAAGATGATACTTGAGTTGAAATTTAAAAGTTGAGGAGATTCCCAATTGGCTACTCCAGGTGAAGGAGTTTCACTGTGAGAAGAATTTATGTAAATGCTCAGAGGACTAGAAGATCATGGCATCTGGAAGGTTGCTGAGCTTATAGACTCTTCCAAGCTATTTAGATATAAAACTGTTTTGCTCGAGTCAGCAAGTTAAAGCTGATATATAAGCATGACTCGGAATCAGCAATTGTTTTGGAGCTGTATTTTGCATAGTTAACAAGTGTCTCCGTGAAATATCATTATCTAGGACCTAATGGTCATTATTCCAATGACTTGGCAGGATCCTAAATGGAATTCTGGCAAGAGGCCAGACTTCCATATCTGTTCTTTCTCAACTTTAAAATGGTCTTAATAGGTCAAATAGATCCTAAAAACCAATAAATAAAGCTCACAGGATGTTGAAGGTAGGTAGAAGACCAGTTGCCCCAATTGCCTATCACCTCCGCTAAATTGTGGTTTCCTAATGGGAATAGTAGAGTCCTCAATACATGTTCGCCAAGTAAAACCCTCACTCTCCTTACAACATTCTTTTCAGTTTTCTGAAGCTGCAACCCTCTTCTCTGAACTTCTGAAATGGGAGGTGATATGGGTTGTCCGGAGCATCAGCAAGGAAAGATACTCTACTTGAAGAGCTGGACTCCAAATGTAGGGTAAGAGTACAAAAGAAAATTAACAGTGATTTCAGTCCTCATCCATGTATTTTATTCTTCTTCTAACAAGTCAATACAATACTAATAATAGATTCAGAAATATTACTTCCATAGCTTTATGGAGAAAATGAGGGGAGTGGAAGAAAAGGAATAGCATCTCATTCCTTTTTATCTTCAAAACATTTTAGAATTTTAAAACATATCTGTTGGACCTTGCTAAATCCTCCCAAATCCAAGAGATATTGATCCCATTTTATACACAGGGGCATTGGGAATTAGACTGCTTGCATGTGTACCTCTTATGATGCTTACATTAAAAAAAAAATCTTGATTTCATATGTTGTTATGACTAAACCTGATGCCTTTTCTTTATAGCTTTACTGGCTCAGAAAGAAATGGCTTGAATTTGTCTGGCAGTTTGTTCACATGCAAGAAATTGCCTAAGGATCAATTTCAATTAAAGCTATCTTTGCCCCAAGAGGAAAATAAAGTACAGATTCATGTGTATGGACTAGGAATCAGACCTAATTAAAATCATTCTAGACATATAAGAGCTATGTAAATGTATGTAAGTTACTTTATCTTTTAAGCCTCAGTTCTCTTATCTCTATAATGGGGCTTAGGAAAGATAGTAACACACCCTTAAAGGTTTTAAGGGTATTAAAAAAAATAAAGACCCTTGAGCCTGAACCTACTTAACAGCAGCCTGGTCTAATATTCCAAATTATAGTGCCTAGAAGGATACAAGAAAATGTGAGTAGATAAGTAACCCCCATGGCTCTAATTCTGGACTTCACCATTAAATTTTTGAGCGATTATAATTATTGCCAATGAAGAAACTGAGACTGAATTTGGTTCTAGTTTAAATGATTGAACCCTTACTATGTGGCAATCATCATACAAGGTGCTGTTCCTGCAATACCTATAATCCCCCCAATAAACAAGAATAAGCAAGTAGCCCTTTGAAAGTGAAATAAGCTTTCAAAGTCCACATATCTAGGAAGTGGCAGAACTGAAATTAAAACCAGATGGGATTTTTTTTTCTCTATAACATGAAGAACAACTGGATTAATGTTGTGTGGTAGTGATTGAAGTCCTTAGTTTCCTCCTCCTCATGAAGAATGAGTTCTGTTGAGCTCAAGACAGTGTGGGAAGAGTTTGCATGAGCAAGCTTCCTTTAAGTATCGGGAGACACCTTAAGCTGGATCACACAGCTGGCCCTTTATTATGTGCCACCATCTGATGAAACTACCACAGCTCCCTTGCCTATAATGGAGTGTTTCAATTTGGGTACAGAATGAAAGATGCAGGCTTCCTCTTCTCCTCCAGAATCTTAATGCGGACTGCTGCACAAAGATTCCATTATGAGGATGGTTCACATTTTTCTTCCTGAGTTTGCCAAATACAAGATCAGAATCTTTCATTCTCAGAAGTAACTGATGCCAGCCTCACAATTCAATCCAATAGATATTTAGAGAGCTCTTACTTTGTGGAAGAATCTGAACTAGGTATTTCAGAGCGCTCAAAAGTAGATAATAATATGTGACTATGTTCTTATGTCTTATGCAATTCTCACAAAGCTGGGTAGTAATTGTTATTAGTGATAATTGCAGTTTTTACATTAAAATTGAGAGTAACAAATCATAAAAATAGTACAGTCATGCCTAGTATACATGGGGGATTGGTTCTAAGACAACCCCCCCGCCACACAAATCCCCAAATCCATGCATATTAATATCTCTCAATCACTCCATGGAATCCATGTTATATGAAAAGTCAGTCCCCTGGATATTTGAATTTGGCATCCTCAAGTCCCTTATTTTTAATTCACATTTGGTTGAAAAAATCTGTGTATAAGCAACCCCACGCAGTTCAAACCCATGTTGTTTGAGGATGGTGCATTGTGCTCAAAGACATTCACCACTGGGTATAACTGATCCTTGAACACAGAATCTCTAACTCCTAACTCTAAGTACATTCCATTGTCCATGTTCGTTTTTAAGAGTTCACACTATTATGTTTTACTGTAATGCCATCTGGGACTTTGTTTTCACACTATAGGGCCACAAATTCACAAGTCCATGTTGAATGCCTACCTGTAAGAGGTGCTGAGGGTTTGTAAATAAATATGTTCTTCTATCCTATACAATCTTGATCATATGGCTTCTAATTGATGGTTCACATTAATATCAAAGTTGAATGGCTAGTTTGGCAAATGTGTTTGAAAATACATTTTCATTAAAAAATACAATTCCTTCAAATGTCTACATGTGAAATATATTCTTATTCTGGATTTTATTCTGCCGTGAAGTTCTATTCCATAGGCTTCTTCAGAACAACAGACAGGTCTCATGGAAAACAAGATCCAGATATCCTTTTGGGAAAGAGAGATCAGGACCCTTCTACACAATGGTGCTATACAGATGACATATGAAGAGATGTCTCAGTTTCTATTGATGTTCTTGATATTGTGGGTATTTTCATTCATTGTTAATTGCACACACTCCTGACTGAGTTGGGATCATATCGTACTCACTCGTGTACATATTCATCTCACAGACACATTCATCTCTCACTCACGTACTTTATACTCACGTACATATTCAACCTTTAACACAATGCCTGACGTTTCTAACTAATGTTTGATGTGTTAATGAGGGAGTGGATTTCAGAGAACATGACAATATTAGATTCCAAAAGCAGGTTCTAAGCAACCTAATCATAGTCCAGATCTCACGCTGAATGACTTGAGCCCTTGTCTGAAAGCCAGCCTTAGGCTTAAGCAAAGGGAGGAATTTGGGAGTTTCTAGTTCTTAATAAGACTATGGATAACTTTGTAGGAATTAAAAACATCTCTTCTGTTGGTATTTATTGGAAATTGATGACCATGTGGGTGGATGAATTAGGGAAATTTCTACCTCGTGGCAGAGAGGGATAAGAGAAGCTCAAATTTAGCTAGTAGTTTACAAGTTATGCAACAAAATCACACAAACATATGCCATAGCTCTGCTTTAACAGGGGCTGTTAGGGAAGAAATTTTTCTATACAGCTTTAGGAAGTTAAGGGAACATCACTCCAGTCTGTGGAGCCTATGGTGGGAAGGTTACAAGCTTAAGTCCAAGCTTTGTTCCTACTGCTTGTATTGCTTTGATCAAGTTACTTAGCTTCTGAGATCATAGTTTCTTTTTTTTTTCTAAATGGACAACACATTATCTCTTGCATACTCAATAGGATGAAATAAGATAGCATATGTGAAGTTGATTATGACAGAACAGATGTCAATATTTGTCATTTTCAGACCCAAGACAGGTATAGAAATACAAATGTATTTGTGTATATGAATGGAAGTATGGATGGATATATGGATCAATCAATTTGAAGAGCTATATTGCAAGGGCA